CCCCCTTTCCCTTGTTCTCTGCATCCAGTTCTTCGGCATGTACTGTGAATTCTATCTCTAAAACATATCTTGAATCCATCTACATCTCTCAAACTTCCCTGCTATCATCATAGTACCAACAACCAACATGTCGTCTATATACTGCAAAAGCCTCCTAACTGGTCTTTTAGCTTCCACGCCTCTCCTCCATCCATTTGCCACACAGCAGCAAAATGGTCTTAAAATGGATATAAGATCCTGTCACTCTCCCTTTAAATAAAAAAAAGCAAAAACAAAAAACCTTTCAATGGACTCACATTGTGTTTCTAATGTAATCCAAACTCCTTACTAACCTACTTCATCTATCCTCAGTCTTGTTTCATGTCTCCCTTTCTAGCTCATCAAGCTCCATCCAGCCTTTTGGCAACTGGAATGTGCCTGTGCCCGATTTTACCTGTCTGTGGGCCTGCAACCTGTCTGCTTTCCTCACCACTATACCCTCACTCTCTGCTTGGGCGGCTCCTTGTCCTCCCAGCCTGAAGCGTCACCTCCGGAGAGGTGTCCCCCCTCCAAATAGACTCCCACTCTGCCTTCTCTATTATCAGTCTCTAGTTTCTACCGTAGCAGGTAAAACACTTTGTAACTGATTTTGTGTGTGTTTTATTCTTCTTGTTTTCCCCCTTCCCGGTTAGAACGTGTTTCGTGAACCACTTCTTGGGAAAAGTGGCATCCTAGCCAGGAAGTGAGAGGCTGGTGGGAAAAACAGCCCGGCCAAGGGGAGGTAGGGGGAACTGCAGGAACCGAGAACGGCAAACAAAAGCCTGTGAAGATACAGAGCTTACTGCTCTTAAATCAGGAAAAAATAAAAATAAAATAAATATCTGTATACCTGATGTTAAATAGGGAATCAGGGGCAGGTCACACGGCCACATATAGGGGCCTGGGGTGGATATGGGGCTTCGTTCTAAGGGAGGAGAGCAAAGATAACCTGAGAGGAAAGGACGGGGGCCTTCCCGCTCCCCGCATTGCCCTCACATACGTGGTCAAAGTCCGGGTCGGAGAGGTGGCAGTGACAATCCACGAGCCCTACGCCCACCGTCCCCATCGCCGCCCCTGCCGCCGCCGCCCTAAACACGCCAGGCGAGCCTGAGTCGGAACGTTGAAGCTGCCGCAGCCTTAGTTTCCGGCCGGACGTGTGCGCCTTCCATCAGTGGGAACGCGCTCTTCCGCTCCCACAGTCCCTCGCCCACAGTTCAAACTGGAAAAATGGCGGGGGCTTCTGAGTTGGTGGTCCTTGACCCTCCATGGGACGGGGAGGTAGTGGCCGGGACAGACAACCAGGCCTTGGTCCCTGCCATCTCCCGAGAGGACTTTCGGGTGCGCTGCACCTCGAAGCGGGCTGTGACGGAAATGCTACAACTCTGCGGTTGCTTTGTGCAAAAGCTCGGGGACGTTCTGCCGGAGGAGATTCGGGAGCCCGCGCTGCGAGATGCGCAGTGGGTACGCGCCCAGTTAGCCACTTCTTTATTTATTACCACCTTACGCTACATCACGGGTCTCAGGGCTCAGAAATACCCTACGCCAGGCTTCGACAGAGTTAAAGGTGCCCCAGGATACTGTAGCAGCGGCCTGAAAAACGCGAGGGGAGAACGAAATAGATGCTAATGTCAGCTGGGTACTATTAATTACTTAGACCAGCGCTGTCCAGTGAAAATACAAGGCAAGCTTAAGATTTATGTTATTTTACATAATTTGTGCAATTTCAAATTGAAAGAAACTGGTGAAATTAATTGAAATAAAATATTTTATTTAACCCAATAAATCCAAAATATTTTAACATGTAACACAAATGAATATTTTACATTCTTTTGTTCATACTAAG